CTCTCTTCTAGTACAAATTTTTTTGAAACAACAAAAAGTTGAATCAAAATGTGGCAAAAAATAGCATCCAGTGACCACCAGATCATTGCATCTTAAAACAACAAAATGCAAAACTTCTCCCCGGCCGGGAATTGAACCCGGGTCTCGCATGTGACAGACGCGGATACTCACCACTATACTACCGAGGATCCAATCCATTTTGCTCGCAAACCCCCTATCAAGCGAATCACTATCTCGCATTTTGAATCGCTTCATGTAACGTAAAGCAAGATAGATTAGAAAACCTGACCTAAAAATTTGGAAACTTTTCATTCAAGGTTTACAATTTAAAAATTTATTCGAGATTTTCAAAAGCGGTCTAATGTTAAGTCAGCTTTTCCGAAGTTTTCGAGCTACAACTTGACATCAGCGCTATGTGTTAACTTAGCATATTACTGAGAGATGAAAAGGATTATAGAGGAATGAAATAAAAAACGTTGGTTTCTTTCATTTGAAGCTAAATTCAAAAGTCACCTTGAAAAAAAAAGCATATGTCTTTTGTCAGCTGAGAAAAGAATTTTTTGAGATTGATTCTACAATTTCTAATGTCAAACGAATAATAATTCTCCAAACCAAACGAGAAATCAAAATAAGCACATACAAACCCGCATTTTCAAAATAGAAATATCAAAAGATTCTATTTTTAACGCCTTACAAACAAAAACTGCATCTGTATGCAGGTTATTCTGCTTGACTGCGAATAATGAGATAGCCTCTGAAGCGAGAAAAAACACAAATAAATCATTGCGGTGAATCCTATTCGAGCGTATCGCACGAAAACAAATGGCTATTCGCCTGCGAATAATTTGCTGAAAATTAGCTTGATAGAATAAACAAGTAAACAACAGCATAGGCTACTACTAAAGCTGGGAGAATCCCGAAGAATCCATAAGAATGTGCTTGAGAGCAAAACAGAAGCTGTGTCTCACGATCGCAGCATGTCGTGAGAAATCCGTGAGCATTGTGCTCGACGCGGATGGCTGTGGCTGCCGCCTGTACAAACACCCGAGCTCAGTCATGAACGCTCGTTTAATTGAAACGTTGCATGCGATCGGATTTCATCAAGAATCGAACGCTCTGCTCATCCATTATTACTACTTTCGGAGTGAGAAATACGAGATTGTCGGAGGAAATTTGCGAAAGTGCTGAAAGCCGAGCTCATGGCGTCTGAAGGGGAATGGAAGAAGTGCGGAAGAGGAAGCGTCTAGTACGGAAATCTAGAAGTACTGGCCGGACTAGATGTCTGGGAATTCCAGCAAGAGTTGATGCGCAATTTTCACCAAGAAATGAATCATGCAAAAGTGCATGAACAAACTGATCAACTTACACATTATGGTCTTTGTTATGCATATGAATGCAGCATTTTACAGAAATTAAATCAGTTTGAAACAAAATTGCTAAGTAGAATTTGAACGAGATTCATAAGTCTTCCTAGAGACATCCGGTCACAACCAACTTTTAGTCGAAAAGAGCAGGTCATAAAAGCATGAGCAAGAATAAATTCAAATGTTAGTAGAAGCTTTAGCAATTTTTTGAAAAACACTTTTTTGGATGTTCATTTTAATCAGCTTTTATCCTTACCATAGCCATCAAGGAATTTTAACTCAAGTGCATGGAAAGCGCAAGACTTCCTCTCATTGAAACTGAAGAAAAAACGGAATCTCAAATATTTTGATGCAAAATTTATGCATCAATCTCTAGTATGTATCCGGTTGCAATTTTAGACTATAGTAGGGTGCAGCCAAGGCCGAGTTTTGGAATGAAGTTGTACTGTTGGATTACGGTAATGACTTCGTTTAGGATGACCGAAACAATGCTGAGCTGGAAAAAAATTATGTATTCTTTCGAAAAGATGATTCACTGCTATGACAAAGTTGTTAGAATCACGTAAGAGCTTGTAAAAATGCATTTTAAAGTAAAGACTTTCAACCCTAACAGTGCTCCAGAAACTTCTCTGTGCCCTTAATAATGTTTAATGAGTTGTACTTTCATATTATATATTCTTTGACTAAAGACTGTGAAACCAAAAACGTAATCACCAAAGAACGACTCTGCAATTTATTAGAATCAATTTGAACTTGGTATAACTTTTTTCAGTTACTTTTATAACTGTCATATGACTACAATTAGTGCAACTTTTACACATTGACGACCATGCAAATTTTTAGTTGTCTGCCTTTTGGAACCAAGGCCTTTGATGGACCAGCCCATATTCCAACTATAATTACGCTTACTACCATCTACAGCATAGCTACAGTAAATCTGAAAGGCTAACAAAAAAGGTAGAGATTATCCCTAGACTCAGTGCAAAAGAAAGCTCATGGAGTGAGTTTATTCTAGGATAGTAGCCATTTCATCAAAATCAAAGCCTTGACACACATGGTGTGTCAAGCGGTCCCACATGGTAGTCATTAAGCGGTCGTCAATGTGCTGATGAAAAGTGAAAATTCATCATGCCGATAAGAAGCAAAACATGGTCAGCAAAATGCATTATTCTCATACTAATGCAATAAACATGCAATCCTTCGTAGTCACGAGTCGTAATAGAAGTGAAGAAAGGTGAACGAACCATGGAGCAAGAAAATTTCGCAAAATACGACATAGCTTTGGAAGATGAATCGCGGCTTTACTTCTTTTCCATTATGAGCGAAAAACCAAAAAACGTGGATGTCCCAATCAAAGTGAATGACTATTAATTATTTTGACAGACGAACAATAAAGCATTTCTTAAAAATTCCACGGCATTCACGGTTCAAGCCAGCTTAATTCGAAATCATTTGTGACAAGAAATGTCTCACAGAAAGGAATGTGATTTACATCTCCCGATTAGATTTGATGGCTGAGCGCGCAGAAGCTTCTGGGATATACAAACGATTTTGTATTCTGTGATTCCCCTGTTTGAAGCTACTGGTAAGTCAAAGCAGTTTTTTAAATGACATCTAATTCCACTCTATCGCATGCACATCAGCAATTCAGACATTGGATCATCAAAAACTGCAAAGCGTTCATGTGCAGGACCATAGTAATACATATTCTACTTGAAGAGAGCAATAAACATCTAGCCAGCATTATCGAATTTTTAAGAACAAGGTTTTAGTTGGTGCGGTGTATTTTTGATCAGAGTATGTTTATTATAACCAACACTGGTTTGTGGTGGGATAGTCGAAGTCGAAGCCAGGCCCAAGTAAATCTAGAAGCTTACTATTATGAATCTGACGGTAGCTCATTTGAATCATTTGAAACTGAGAAAAAACAGCTTTGAACTCTCGCCCACCATAGCCTGTCCCAGATTCCTTTCCGATGTGCCGTCCCTAGAATACTGATGCCCGTTCGGTAAGAGTGCAGTTTGTTCAGGAACTTCTAGACCATGAATGAATCACATGAGGTACCGCTTGGGCGATGGCAATGTCAAGGTCCCCAGTCAGTTAAATTGAAGCTTCCAATTCACAGAGGGAATCCGGTCCTCAGAATTACTCCACTATGCAAAATTTTTTGCTAGTTCAACTACTGAACCAGTCGATAGTCACTGCAAATTGCGATTCTTTCGCAGCTGCACCAGCTCACGAGCGTCGGCTTGTCGTTAGCACAATACAGCTGTCAGTTACAGAAGTGCTGGTGAATGCGAAATGCCGAGTCTCCACAGATGGCCGCATGTGAAGCGTCGTGAAAGAAGACGACGTATGGAAGAGACTAGTGAGGGACTTTAAGCTATTAGTTCATCCAAAGAATTGCCCATGAAACTGGTATGTGGCGAAGAATACGGCGCCATTATATAGTTTAGTATAGTTTCGGTAAGTGTAGTTCCGTTAAGCATACTCCGGCGGAAGCTATGGGGGGGGGGGGGGGGGACAGTATTAGATGTAGGTACTATCAATCAGCTGGGTTGATAGTTAATAGACAAATGTGATGGAATTAAGCAATGGATATTTTGAAAAGTGAAGAAGAACTTGTAAAGGGTTTGAGAGAAGACTTGAGCCTAACAGCTGTCTGGCCAGTTAAAAAAGTTTTTTTTTTTCGAGTACATGAAAGTATTCCAGTACTCAAGAATATATAGTAAGAGGACAAAATCATCAAAGTTTGAGTATGAACGAAACAATTCCTCGATCAGAATTATCGCATCTATATGGTCACGCTTGTTATCAGAACAAACAATTCAACCATCTGCTATCAGTAACAAAGTCATTAATTAGATATTACGTGGGAACATTTGCAATTCGTACGATAAAAAGGATACGTTGACAAAGGAGCACCTTTCGTTACAAGGAAGCTTCAAATCAAAAGTTTACCTTTCATATTTGCCCAATTTTAATGATCGAAACTATGGCCACACTCTGAGACGGACTATAACTAATCCAGAAATTATGTCCTCAGCAAAAATGAAGGTGACATTTAAAATAACCCTTCAAATATGATTCAGGATGAAGAAGTCTTTTCCACGAAAAAAAGAGAGGAGATTAGCACAAGTGTGAACAGAAAGGAATTATTATGACTAGACGTTCAAAGTGATTGAGTTTTCTGAACTCTAAAACAGATTCAATCTTGAAGTTTTGGTTCAAGCAGGAATGAATGAACGAATAGATGAGCAAGCAATGAGTAAACCTATAGATGAAGAACAAAAAATTTGAATTGTCCCCATGTGGCGAATGGCTGCCTAATAAATAGAGGTCAAAGCGCGATCTTTGGCCTATAGAACTTGATAGAATAAGCAAAAGATGAATCAACTGCTTATAACCCCAAGTACGGCAGAAAGAAAATTTTTGCTTCTTTATTTACCCCTGTGCATATGACAAGTACGAATGAAAGCGTGAGCAACCAGAATCAAAATTTGGAATTTTTGCAAATTTTGCGGAGCCCCAACAGTACTGCAGTTACAGTAATGTTTCCGGATCTTTAACGAATCTAGACATTCCCGCAGAACAATGGAAAGAATCAATTCAGAAATACAACCATAAGCAACCAAACAATATAACTTTATTCATTTCTTCATCACAAATACACAGGCACTTTCCAATAAGATAATCTCTATATAATCTCCTCTAACAAGATCTAGAATATACATCTTCTAGGTAAGGCACAATTTCGCTTGTGCAGTAAGCTTCTTCACATAAATTAACAGCTATGACCCATTGTGAACCAAAACTGCCACAAAAAAAAAGAGAAAAGCCTCATAAGAACGCTTCACATGCAAGATTAATGAGTTACTAGTCCACATCAAGTGAATAACATAACAATAAGGCACCCAAAGAAAGCGAGAAAACACAAAGCACTTCACCTGCGCTAGGCTGCACGCAAACAGAACTCGTGAGCATCATTATTACCTCTAATTATACATACATGTTTTTTTACCACACAGTATAACGCATTGCACTTCTCAAAACCTATACGGACTTGTTAGTCATTTTCAACTGCTTCTAACTGTTCCAAATCGCTAGGATCCAACTTGGGAATAGGCTTTCCTAAAACAAATATTGATGAGCAAAGACATAAAGAGACAACCTAATATGCGATAAGAATGTAGCAGTGAATTTACCGAAGAAAGCTTCAATTTTCTTGATTATCGCCAATGCTTCGCGGCTGTCCACAAAGTTGATCGCAATACCTGCTTTACCAAATCGCCCGGTACTGAAACCAAGAATTCTGGTATGATGGACTCTATAGAACCTCAAAGGAGATTAACTGCTGAGATTGGCAACAGAGGACTTGCTTTCCCTAATGCAGTCACAAATCTAATTCCACAGTCAAAAGGGGGAGATTTCAATAGAATTAAAGTCTACCAAACTAAGCAAAGCCTGCTTTCACAATACTTACCGTCCGATTCGATGTAGGTAGGTGTCATAGTCAGGTTCCGAAGGATTTTCATACAACAAAGGAGGATCATAGTTGATCACGATTGTTACTTGTGATACGTCGATACCTACAAGCAATCAAAACTAAAAAAAGTCCCGAATAAGTTTTTATTCTTCTCATTTCCTCACTCAAATTTATTTCCCTTTATACGATGGCAGCAACTTAGTATGTCACTATGCAAACAGGCATCGATGGTCAGCTATCACTCATCAAGAGGTCGTATAGCATTACTTAGCGGCCCAGTTCATATAGGCTAATCCATTGAGTAAACGAGGCAGACGTTTGGACAGTTGTGATATAATGCATCAATTACTGTGCATTCTGATCAAATACACCAATGAGAGAAAGAAAAGAGGGGAGTGAAGCCAGAAGCCGAAATCTCGCCAAGTTCAATAATAAGGTATTCATAACGAATGCCAACCTCTAGCACAGACGTTAGTCGTTATGAGCACTTTGAAGATTCCTTCTTTGAACTGTTCTATGGACGCTGCGCGTTCCTCTACAGACATTTCGCCATGCAATACACCAACCTGAAAAATGTGTGTTCAACACAAGCAGAAGAAAAACTACACCAGTAGTTCCAATATAGTAAAACCAACCAAGTGTCCTTTCTCAATCATTCTTTCTGCAAGCCATGAGGCACTTCGTCTAGTATGGGTAAAAATCACACATGAAGCGATCGTCAACCCACTGTAGAGCTCCACTACGGCCTAAACATGAAGGATGATGAGAATAAAGTGCACAAAAAACGCTATTCAAGTACTCTCTGGAGCCTATAGAGCAGGTATGCACTGGTGAACGGAAGATATAGAACAAAATTTGCATTACATCAGCTAAAAAGCTACAATGCAAACTCTGCTTGGAAAGGAGCGAGGACTGGGTAACGGAGATAAAAGCACAAAGACTTCAAAGACTAACTTGGTACTTGGCATCCCGCCCCGGACACTCTACAAAATACTGCTTGATGTTGGGTAACGACTGATCTTCACGCTTCAACCTGAAATCCAAATTCAGATTTTCGTCAACATCCTAACAAGGTCAACCTCGTATACAAACAACCGTGCAAAACACTATCCAAACGATAAACCATTCAAACACTATTTACAGTAAAGCAGCAACTTCAGGTCAAGTATGTAACAAAAACGCTGCACAATAGACGATAGCAGTCGCCCGCAGAGAAAAATCAACAGAGCCGAATATGCTAACACCGTTGAAAAGTTCAAGAATGGAGCTCTAGTTAGTGTGCAAAGAAAGGGTAAGATGGGAAGCTGCAAAAAAACGTATATACAATGTTACCCAAGAAATAAATGAGTGTCGAGAGATCAAGGGATCGGAAGCGTAAAAAAAGAAATAAAAATACAAGGAGTTTCTTTAAGGATTTCAAATTAGCGGTACGATCCAAGGGCATTCTCTATGCTGTGTCAGATAAGTTATAAGAAGAGGTCCGTTATAAGAGTTATGTCCTTTCATGAAACATTTTGAATTGGTATCGAGGTTCCTTGACAACCTGCGTCAGAAACATGTAAGCGCCTTCACATTTTTTCACAAATCATACCCATTTCTCACATTATATTCAACCATCTGTTAGTCCAGAGCCATCGGTGTTTCCCCAAAACAACAACACCCTACACATGTTAACTTTCCCCAATTACCTTCATGAACAACAGCTTATTCTCGACACAACATTGGCGCGCCATTTGGTAGCGACCATGCTCAATTAGAAACAGCCATCTTATTCCGATGTTTTGCGATACAGTAATTACGTGTTGTCTTCTATCAACAGCAACTAATTGAATCATCCAGCGCTATGGCACCGAAAACACAACACGCAAACTGCGTTCACGTTACGAGATAGTCTTGAGGGGTAAGGGAAAAGCCTAAGAGTCTCATTTCTGCGACTATTCAGCCTTGAAATGAGCCTAAAATTTTCGAGACAAAATATGAAATAGAAAAGGCTAAAACTATACTGATCTAACTTCGGTTTCCTAGAAAATAGTTTGTTACTACAACTGGACTTTTGAACGATAGCTCGGTTTGAAAGACATGCAAACATTAACGGTATCCTTTTACATTGTAATATGAGAAAGTGTCGATGATGTCAATGATGACCTACTTATCATATAGCCAGCTATTCTGACGTACTGTCAGTATTGCGCAACTTGGCAAATCTAACCTCGATTACGGTATTAACGGTGTTAGCAGATTAGCGCACCTGGCCTTTTCCTGTGCAGATACTCATTAGACTACTCATTACTTAGTGCGAAAGTTAATAGGGACTTTACTTCTTACTTTCAGATTTTTTGAACGAGCAAGCCTCTACTCTGGTGTTCAAAGTCCACATAACAACGGTTGTCAACTATACGCAACACCTGGCGAAATTGGACCCAACCGACCCAGATGAGATAATGAGACCGGCACAAAAGAGGCGTATAATCGACGATTAATTCCACTACAGTGCAAAAACGTACAAATAGGGTACCCGAAATAAAGTGGAAGCCGAAACTAGGGACCTACAGTGGTAGTAAGAATAGATATCAAAGAAACATATGAGAGATAAAGACGAAAGAGATGAAAATGTTGGGATTAGAAGCCAAAATTGAAGAGTATATACATTTATACACATGTACATCCTTTCCACAAGTTATCACAAAATGCAAAAAATATATCGTTCAAAAATTGTCATAATTTTGTTTTGACACACTTTATGTTCTATACTTGTTACTGAGCAACAACACTATGATAAACGTTTATATTTATGCAAATTTAGCCTACCATTCTGATTGTAACGCTTCTTAGATAAACCGGTGTCTAGCAAAGAAAAAGTAGAGAGCAAAAATCAGGGACTGCTCACTATTTGTAAATTAACTGAAAGATATGCCAAATCAAGACATCAGAGCGATCACGGAAAGCACAACTAATGGTGAAAGCACTTACGTCACGGTAACAGCATTTTTTATCAGCTGCATTGCGAATTTGACGACATCCTCTCCATAAGTGGCCGAAAAGAGCATAGTTTGGACAATAGGTGAAGCTTCTTCGATAATGCTGAAAAACGAAATATTGTGATTTCTGCCAGTCTTTTCCCCTAAGATGGTACAGCTATACAGTATGTTTTTCTAAGATGACATGTTCTACAATGCCAGACGTTACCAATTATTAGGAGACGTACTGCAACAGTAACACGTAGCTAAATCGCCCAAACTTGTCATTTTGCACAATTAAGGTCTTGGTTTCAAGACCCTCTCGAAAATCATTCAGAGAAAAAATAAGGTACAAAAATGTCTGTCAATGCTTGCAGCCTCCAGGAAATCTGGTACCAATATCCACGATCTGAACTCGTCTGGACCCTCATTGGCAATAACGAATCAGGATGCTTATGTTTTCCGCCCAGCCCAAGCTTGTTTCAACACTATTTATGCGAACTAAATGCACTGCCTCTATAACATCTCCGAGGTTTGTAATTTGATGACAGGTCCACTACTCGCAGATGCGTCTCGCTACAGTTTACTTCAAACTTTCTAGTAATCACTACCTGGAACGCATGATTTGTCCCGTCCTTCGAGATTTATATTTCATGGAGCTTTGAGCAAGCAAAAATTCTCAGAGCTCGTTTTATTCCCCAAGTTCAATTATCTAACTTCACAATCATTGCCCGCTCTTCAATTCTCCTCTTCAATGCACATCATCGCTCCAACAACATGATTCTCGTGTAATTCTGATTCTCCTATCTAGTCAGCACTGTTAGGCCCCGGGCAGATGCGACGAGACAACTGTTACAACATTATTCCATGCCGATCAACTTGCATTCGGTTGTGATACTTTTCTAGCCCGACATTTTTGGATGTGAAATGAAAATGAATGGAAATCTTGGCGATTAGATCGCGACGATTGTCGCGTGAAGTCTGTCCGGGACCTTATGCGGAAGATTTCTTTGTGCCTGCCAAACAACACAACCTCCTTCGTTTTCGTTCCACAAAAAGAAAAACCCTGCTTGCTTATCATGCTTGCAAAAGCATCGCAACTGTTATTCATTTTTTGTAATTCGCATACACTAACGATCCACATTATTCTCATACAGTTGAAAACACACAGACACTCCGTGTTTGAACAATCATATAAAGGACACCCTACCAAAAAAACTGATGTCAAAATTGAAAACGCTCTTACGAATCACAAAGAAGTGATCACCATATGGTATTTTACCAAACACTAAAGTATGAGCAAGCCTTTGAAATGGCCCAGATGAAGCAGTGCTCGAAAGTGCTTTTGAAGATACGACTATCTTTTGACAAAAAGTCTACATCAATAACTCACTTGTAGATTTGTGTACTCTGTTGAGCATACCCTGTTTGATTGATCATAACATCAGCTTCGTCTAGTACGAGACAACAGATATGAGATGCGTCTAGGCAATGGTATTTTGTGAGGTAATCCACTAGCTGAAAAAAATCTCAGAGTGAACTCCTCGGCAAGAAGTATATAAAAACAAGCCAACGTCACGTACTTTTCCTGGGGTTCCTATAATGATCTGTTCGGAAATTGGCGCAGAAGCTGAAAGTACAAGGAATAAAAAAAATGAACATTGATTGTAGAAAAGCTTACGTTTAGTCCCTCTCACGGCATAATGTACAGCGACATCCGGCATAAACTGTGCCATCTTCATAACCACTTCACCTAGAAGGGAAAGTACTCATAAGTTTGCTGAATCGTAATCAATAGTGTACAGACTGAAATTTCCGTGAGGGTGATGTATAATTTCACTTTCAATCACAGTGACGAAAAGTTCAGTGATGAGAAAAATAGAAAAGCAAAATATAATTGATAACAAATCATATTGATGGATATATCGGATATTGACGTAATGAAAGGTATGACAGTCTTAGTCGTTCTATAGCTGATGATACATGGGTAACTGTAACAAACACTCACCAATTTGTATAGCGAGCTCATATGTTGGTGCTAAACAAAGACACTGTGGATATTTCTTGGCTGGATCCACACGTGACAGCATTGTCAGGACGAATGTTGCAGTTTTGCCAGTTCCTGATTGGGACTGAGCAATAATGTTGGTGGGTCTGCAAGTTTCAACTGATAGAGTACGCTAAAGCCTTGAATATAGGACAAAGCGGCTATACTCACGGTTCCATGATCAACAACGGTAGTGCAAATTCTTGAATCTTTGATGGCTGCGTAAATCCTAGGACATTCAAAGCTTCAAGTAACTCTGGCCTCCTGAATGAGCAAGCAATGGTATTGAGAGATACAACAAAAAATGAAACAAGGCGTCAATGAACAACTCACAGCCTAAGATCTCGGAAGCTACGTATAGAATGCAAAGGTGATCTTGGATCGTTTCTATCCAGTGACACATCTATCCCACTATTTTGCATCAAGTCGACTTTTTTGTGTAGGAACTTGTTCAGAAGAGCAACTTCTTCCGGGCCCATAGCTATAATCAAGCAAGTAAGGAAAAAGAAGCAATTACTATCAAACATACGCTTCTCCATTTGGTCCGGGCTCGGTGGTGTAGCCGGCTTGGGTGCGACATACTTGTATGGATTATTCTGAAGGAAAAAAAATATACTGATTCGAAAATTTTTTTTCAAAGTTACACTTGCTCTCGAAAATGTTAACTACCAAGAGTGCGATTTGATCCGTTAAACGCAATAAAATTTGAGAACTGTATGAGGGGGAGGAATCGTGACTAGGGTCGTAAGCGCGAATGGAGCGCAACTCCTCTTCAGAACAAATCTGCTTTGAATCAAATCCTGTGGCAGTCCTTCCTATTAACATTTGCCCTTGTCAAGCGAGTTTAGTCTAACAAATAAACATACACATATGAGATAGATTTTCAAAGATATAGTAAGGGCATAAGTCAATAAAAAAGGCTGTCTTATGTTAGTGAGGTTGGGTCATACCCTTGTCTACATTTCCCACAGCCCCCTTTTCTGCCTGAACAGTATGCTGAGATTTTTCACAACACAAGAGATTTCCTACTCTTTCCGCTACTGATGAAAAACACAGAGAAAGTCTTCCGACTCTCTCCGCTTCCAATGAAAACACGTTCAAATTGTAACATAAGGTTGCGGGTTGCACGAGAGTTCAAAGCTGTAAGAATACTCCGAATAATCACGTTCAGGAGATGGTCACGAAGTCGAAGTGGCTGATCGAACAAAGTCCCTGGGAAAGAAAGTATGAGCATTTTTTGAGGGAAAAAACTGAACCAATATTTGGGACGAAAAATTGCTGCAGCCTTCATCGAGGCTGGTAGTAACAGCAAATTTGGAATCAGTGTTTCAAGCTCTCTTTAATGATATGATTGTTGTTACTCGGCCGCTTCGCTTAATGATCCTCCCGTAAAGGGTAAGGTTTGAAGTTGTAGGGTTATAGGTGCCTGTACTCTAGTGGATCATGTGGCCTTATCAATGGATTGGATTAGCGGATTAGCGAGTGGGTTCGCGATCACAGAATATCATCCGATTCACAAAAGCTCTGCTGCGTTCGCCTCTCATTAGCTTCGTGAATATCGCTCTCGCGCGTTTACCTTACTCAATGGATCCCGAGAACACTGGGTTTGCTTATGAAAATCGCCACTGCTTACATGTACACCAGTCTTAGGGATCGTTCATACCGCGCACAAAGGCGGACGAAGGCGGACGAAGGCGGACGAAGGCGCGTCTTGTCTCGTCTCGTTTCTCTCGACAAACACACACACTCACTCACACGCGTCTCGTCTCGTTTCTCTCGACACACACACACTCGCACATGCCTTCGTGCGCCTTCGTCCGCCTTTGTGCGGCTTCGTCCGCCTTCGTGCGTCTTCGTCCGCCTTTGTGCGCGGTATGAACGATCCCTTAGGTGGGCATATAACAATGGATTTTCGTAGATGTCAGACATGGATGCGATGCAAGCGTGTTAAAGGCAGTGTCCGGGCAGAAACTCGACTTCTAAAAAATCAACTTATCTGGGGTTATTCGCAACGCTGAATCCAAAAATCCACATCAGAAGGCGCGAAAACGGCGAGAACATGCATTTTCCAAGTCCTCACATTTCGAAATTTGGGGATCCCCGCCAGGCTAAGACGCAGAGGTTGCAAAGAGCGCACGGTTTTTAACTGTGGCGGCATACGTACTCTGCCGTCTGGCAGGAATTCAAACAACTCGGAGGACCCCGCCCCAAGGCGTAAGTTTCCCCAATTTGCAATAGTTTTTCTTGCTTTAGGTCGAACGTTTTATGCTCGCAGTTGCGCGATGTTGTGTCTCAGGGGGGCTACTTTCACATGGCAGAGAGATCTCAGAACCCCCATTTTGCCCGGACACTGCCTTTAAGTGTGAGAAATAATTTTGCCAGCCAAAAAGTTTTTATAATCTCACAAATGTGAAAACTTATAGCGAAGAATAAATAAAAAAGAAAAAGCAAAAACAGATTTGTTCAAATTGAGTCTGAAATATGGTGCATAATGACTCACCCCAGGTGGAGGCTGATATTGAAATGCTGCATATCCTCCTCGTCCTCGAAATCCACCACTGGCGGAGAAAGCTGAACGGCAACGGTTGATTTGACGAAAATTCCAGCGAATTTTGCGCAACGCTTTTTACAGGGCCTGCTAATGCTATCTAAATTTCTCAAGTGACATACTTTGCCCTCGTCCGAAGACTGGTTGTGGCTGAGGCTGCATCGCGTAAGAATACCCGTATCCGCCGTTTGGGTTGGCATTGGCGATGCCTACGATTGGGAAATTTCTATTGTATTATTATTCACTTGTTAACGAAATAAAGAATGAAGCCAACGCAGCTATTTAGTGGTGTTTTCAAATAGTAGACTATAGGATAACAACTGTCAACTGGTGGGAGATAAAAAAGACTAGCATGAAAATAATGTTTGAAGGGTGATATTGCAAAAAGCAGTGAGAAACCTCATCCTGCGCCTTCTAATGTAACGGGAAAAAGGCAACGAATAAGTGGAAGAAAAACTTACCAGCCTTTGACGCGCCGAAAGTGTGTTGTGGTGGTGGCGCTCCATTAAAGCTTGAAACCGGTCCTTTGTACCCTGAAAAGAGGAGCTCCATAGGAAGTGCTTCGCAACATCATGATAATACTAGTTCTATAATCGGATCAACCATGTTTTCGCATGGTGAATGCATTCATTTGGGCCTTCCAAATAAGGAAATACTAGACCGGAAGGTACACTAGAGCAATTTCAGATCCATTGCTTTGCAGCTGGTTCTGATTATACAACAACTGCTTGCACTTAGCGGTAGTGCACTAAATGCGATGTCACGCGGTGAGTAAATCCTGAATGTCATCGATAACTTTATGTACAAAGGTCCTAATTCATCTCTCCGTGATTTTTACTAAAAACCTTTTCATTGTGTAGAGTCGTACCCCTCATACTGGAAAGTACCAAAAGCAAAGCTTCTGAACAATTAAAGAGCATCTTATAGAGAGCAAGACAGTAACCAACTGATGCCAGCGCTAGAACACAAACAAAAACAAATATTGCATCAGGACAGAACAGAGGAAGACATGAAAATGAGATACAAACTCAATAAAATTAAATTATTTCCGCTACTGCCCTTCTGCCTGTAGAAGTAAAGCAGTGACCAGTAATAGCTACTTATGATGATGCAAAAATCCAGTATTGGCTAGCACATATACAAATGGAATGAGCGAGTTTGACCGGCATAGTTGGTACAGCAGCGCAGACAATGTGCAAAATGCGGCCATTGCAGTACAGACTACGTCTGAGATACGCAAGACATCACTTGAGAAGTCATCACGCTACTGTTTCCACAGCCAATCGTCGTTTCGATCCAATGTTCTACTACGCTATTCATAACTTTGCAAAGAATTTAATATAGCGGGTTCTGACTGCATCATTCATGAATAAGTACGGATGTGGCGATGGGATGAATCATGAGAACGAAACAGATCGATGATCGCATTTATCCACTGTCAGGATTACCAACGAAATGTTGAAAAGAAAGAAATAGAAGAAAACTTTGAAAAGAAAAAAGAAGATGTAAACTAACTTACCGTGAATCGAAACCGAGTTGCCACCACCTCGGAACGACATTTTGCCAGCCTAAATACCAAATACTATTTTTATGGACACATATACGAAAAGTACAGACGTATTGAGATTGATTGAATTTTGATTTGTGGGAGGTAGATTTTATGTAAAGTACAGACTGAACAAACTGATGCCAAAACGAAAATGATGCATTGCTGGTCAAGAAAATCAACAAACTTGCTGCAAGATTTCACTGTGATCTTATGCGATTATGCGACGAATCTCCGATTCGTTTTTATGAACTGCGCTTTTCTGCAACTGCAGACTAGAGCGCTACCTAATCAAAACGTTAGCGGGAAGAAAGATTAACCAGGAGCAGCACTGAAGACACAGCGTAGAGAGCGAAAGACTGGAAAGGCTCCAAAAGATCTGAACGTTCCAAGAGGCATAGCGCAAAACATCGGTAGGCAATGGTTGTTTTGATTCCGATAAACTACGGCGAACTAGCGGAATTCGCCAGCGGTTTCACACGATTTATTTGGGTCCTACAGCGCGTAACGCTCCATTTGGTTTAGCTCTTCGAATACGACCACTCGAACTCGTTCACTTTCACATGCGTCAACATTTCGAAAGCTGTGTAAACAGTTTTGCTATCAGCACTTCGATCCTTCGGATTTCGCAAACCATGGGTTTTTTTTCGTAGGATCAACTGGCAATAGATCTCTCAAGCAAATCCACTATGGTCTAACCAATTCTATGACTTTCCGGTGCTTGACATGGCCGATCTATACATCGATGCGAGATATGCGCAATCGCTGCGCTGTGGGAGTTGCTGACCCATGCACGATATTCCAGAGTTCAGTCATTAAAGGAAACTAAAGCGATCAATTAACGAAAGAAATAGCTTTTTTTTCATCTTCAGCTGATACTAGGAGTATAGTAAAAATCGAGTAGTGCGCGCAATGTGAAAGCTAGGAGAGGAGCAGGGGGGGGGATTAGGAAGTGGGAGAGTTTTTGAACGAAATAAAGGCTGATCTTTTGCATACATAAAAATCCTAGTCAGATAGTTTCCAAGCATTAGAAACAGAGGTGCCAAACTGTCCCCATCGGGTTTGCATTTTCTCTAGACATGGTGAATGACTGATTAAATCGATACGAAGAAGTTAGTGGGATGTAAAGGTTATGAAGCGGCTGCCACTTTTGCTAGTCTTGTGCTTCATACATCATTAATCTCACATAGTGTAGATTTGCTCAGAAACCAAATTGAGGGTATTGGTCCTGCATCCCATTTTCTGACTTACCACCTCTCATTAGCACATTACAAAAGGGAGTGTGCGCATAAACTTCACGTATTGTCATCTTTTGTAGAACTTCTCTAACTTTCACTGGTAGTCGACGTAACAGTAAATCATAAATTTTTACAAAATACCCAGAGATTGCATGATACTACCGCAAAGGCTGTAGTGCAAATTTATACATCCTCGTTGCCGAAGATATCATTCATTCGCTGACTAAGGCCTCGGACAAGGTTTACGCGATTTGATCGTCGCGATTCAATCGCAACAAGAAAGTGTTACGAGTTCGCATGTCGATCTTCTTGCATTTCGCTTGTGATAGTTAGTCACGATTTCGTGTTGGAAAACTATAACAACCTAAATGCAAGCAGATCGGCATGCAATGATCTCGTAACACTTGTCTTAAGGGCCGGGTATACTTCACGCGAATTCAGTCGCGACGCGATTTGACAATTCGCCAGAACTCTTCAGATCTAGTACTAGCAAACTGCACATGCATAGTGTGTATAACTTACGTGGATCGATAAAATGCCTTATCTTCTGTATCTTTAAAATGTGCTTAGAGTGAGTTGGACAGTTGGAATATTGTCAAATCGCGTCGCAACTGAAATCGCGTGGTGTATGTCCGGCCCTTCTAGCGATTAAATCACGACGATCAAATCGCTGAACTTTGCCCGAGGCCTAATGGACACAAGCACGCTTTGCGCACTTATCTAACAATTCAAGAGTGCTTCAACGCGTTTTGGGTAAATTACTGTTAGGAAATCAGGAACGCACATTCAAACAGGCGTCATTTAACAAGAACGAACATGTTTTTTCTAGAATTTTAATAGCAGTTTACCAAGACGTGTTAGCGTGCACTCGCAAACTTGTTAATCAGGCGTACGCAAAGCGTGCTTGTGTTTTTATAAGGGAATGATGGTTGGTCGAAGTGGTCTTGCGGGACCGAACCTATACCATCTTGAAGGGCTTAAAACGCTGGTTCAAAGTCTGTTTTCCTTATCTGTGGAGCGTTCCTGCGCGAGAAGTTATGAGCGTTTATTGGAGCAAAAAATCGAATAGGTTAGTGGAATGGAAACAGTTATACCATTTTTCTTAGCTGTTGAACGGGACAATAATTACCAAGATACATTATGCATAAATACTTTCAGATATATTACAATTCTATCCACACTCCACTGCCTCATTTGAGCGCTAGGAAAATTTTGGCAACTTTTTATCCAGAAAATATTTAATTTCTACTCCGATAAATGCTGATAACTATGTCCACAAACGCTCCGCAGTTAAAGAATACATTAGGAATCAGCTTTATGCCCATTAAGATGGTAGTTTTGTCTCAAAAGGCCACTTCGACCGACCATCCTTCGCTTGTCGGTCAGAGAATAAATACTACGAGAAGTTATCCCTAGTTGTATTGTACAGCAGAAATGTCTAATCATTAATCATTACTATGCTGCGAAAAAAATGGATATAGGATGCATACCGAATAACAGTAATAGGCTATGATCTAATCGACTCGTTCCTTTTCTTTGTGAAAAAAAAATCATACATTCTCCAAAAATTGTGTTGAAATCACTGATACAATAAAGAAGTAATTTTTTTCTGACACAAGCCAAATCTTGGGAGTTCGGTTGAGAGGCAAACTGAGTAAATGGCAAATTTATAGCAAGTGATGTATCCGCCGCGTCGCAAATGAAACAAAAACTCAAGCAAAGAAGTGAAACTTCGCGCAAACGCGATGAAAAACCGAATCGAAAAGTTGGTATGACATTGATTAGGACCGGAAAACATAACGAGAGTCCGAACACCGAGTGTTGGTATGCGTATGTTTGCTCACAATGATCGTCGTCTGTTTTGATCCGACACGAGCCCGTGTTGAAATGCAAATAGCAGGGAGGATTAGCGTATCAGCGGACAAAAAAATCACCTCGTTTGCTGGATTTTCCGTGCCCGTTTCGGCTCGGAGCTGTGCATCGTAGCTGCTCACCCAATCAGACATCGTTCGGAATACGTCGACAGCGGCGCGCTTGTTGACGCATCCTTAGCGATTTATATAGTGCTGATAAGGGAGATGGCCCCAGAACGAAAAATTCAGGCGGAGCTCACCAGGTGATGTGCGAGTGTCGATAGAGGTGGAAACGGCAGCCACGGAACGATCGTGTCGAGCGCTACGGGAGGTGCGAAAAGGACACGACGGCCTCTCTCCAGCCCCAGTCGCTCGATACGTCGCGAGGGTCACGTTCAGCGATCGCTCTGCTGTTGTTGTACGAAATGCCAGACGCTTATCGCGGCGATTCCGCCGCACACACACAGGTGTGTACAAATACGGTTTAGCCTCAGCCGGCGGGACACAAGCGATTTCCGAGCGCAGTTAGGAGCAAACATAGGAACCTTGTTCGGAGCAAGGGGAGACCATTGCGTAAATGAGACGAACTGTAGAGAAGAAAATCAAACCTAGCCGCGCTTATCCTCTCTTGACTAGGTGTGTTTTATTGCTTAGCATGTCCAACATATTAATAAACAAGAAAGAAAATAACATTTGGTCATCCTCTAGATTCGGTAAATCCTTGAACATCTAACAATATTATATAAAACATCAGACAGAAATTTTGAACACGCCAAAACGAATAGTCAAAGGTTACATCACAGATTGTGCAAAGAAAATGATTTTCAAGTTTAGGACAGCTGAGAGATTTGTCATACTTGCCAGTATAGCTCTGTACTTCTGCAATTACGAAATTTTTATTGATTTAGCGGCTTTAGCAACACATAATGTTGAAGCTTTAAGTCCATGTGTATGTGTATGTAGTTCGGAAGTTTGAGCTCTTCAATGGCAAGTTGATTGGCAAACTAATTCGGAAAATTGTTGAAAAATGCAGGTTTAGATCGAGCGGTCAAAATGAGCGCTGAAGCTGACAATTTTTGAGTAAAGTCGCTGCAGACTTGAAAAATCGCAATTTATCGTCGGTTACGAAAGCTATCAAAGTCAGAAAAAACTGTGCTGAATTTACGCACATATACTTTTCCATGAATACTTCTAGTTTTCTTTGTGGAGACATTGTTAGGTATCGGCATCACTTTGGAACGCCAAGGCTGTTGAAAAGCAGAAATCTAAGAATCATCCATCGGTGCTTTTTAGACAAATTTGTTTAGGTCAAGTGGGATATCCTAAAGAAGAAAAAAAATGTGAGTCAGCTCAATAGTCCTCGTAGCAAAGGTTCGTTAGTGAGGCTGCTTCGAGGTGTCATGCGGGTCTTGTGGTATCTCAAACCTGTGTAGTCGAACTTTATTCCAAAAAGTGAAACAACATTGATGTAGAAACCGGGAAAGTGAGGTGTCTACCAGAGACTTGTCGGCCTTCAAATGCTTCGCAGGATATTGTGGTTTGATCTCCAGAGACCTGTTAGTGAGCCGGAGACTGATCGTTCCTATCCAGAGTGCTTGCCGGATCTGACCTTACCCCAGAAATCTTTTGGAGGGAGACTTTTTAGTGAGCGAGACTTGCGTTCTCATCCCACGATACTTGTGAATGTAGTCCTACCTCCACTTGTGAATTCGACCTCAACCATCCATCGGCAATTATAACCTTCAGATCCTCGTTGACTTGTATCATCGGCTCCCATATTCGTGTGGAGGTGGAGTCTTGCCAACTCACCGCGTGGCGGTTTTCGCTGGCGAGAGATTACGAAAAGCAATGCTATGACGTGGAGGTTTAGCAAGTTTACATGTGTAATCAGGCAAAGTCTGCAATACACCTCCACACGAATCTGGGAGCCGATCATAGATGCCACGTCATTGTTGACTGAGGATAGGTAGCGATAAGATGACGGAGTGAAGTTGTGATAACTCGGCTGATCTTCGTGGGGTACTATTCCAACCACTAACGTTTGTAATACAAAGCAATATCATTACTTATAATAACGGGTTAAGGATATTTACGTATTTGTGTGTATTACGGGATTCGTATAGCGCGTTCCAGCCAACGCCCTGAGCCCAAATTTTGCATAGCGCAAGCTACCACCATGCAAGTCCAATATGCAAAAGCAAGAGCGGATGCGTTAAGTGGATCCCTTAAAGACTGGCGTCAAACAAACTTACTTGGCTTCTAGCCTACAAAATTGGGTCCGTAATTTCACGTTTTACAGACTCGTGGATGTGTATGGCGTGCCATGGACTTGGGGCCAAAAAAGTGATCAAAAGTCCACTACTTTTCAAAAACGACGCCAAAAAGAATTGGTTGCGTAAATGGTCAATTTGCCAAGGTTACCAAAGCTTTTAACGAGATTTTTGCACAAAGATGTAGCTTACGGTGATTATTGTTCTTCTGGCGACTACCAAAACCAGGAAGGAATGAAAAACATTCAAATTTGCGTTTGTTCTTCTGCGAAAAGTCTCTTCACGCAAAATCACCGATTTCACATGAAAGAGCTTTCGGAAGTTATTTACATTTTAATCGTGATGGTCGGCATTGCGCGGTGGGTTTTAGTGCCATCATTATACAAGAATGAGTAAGGCATTTAGATAGTAGGACCAGTGCGAGCCTCTGCGAAGCAGAGGTGACGCAGTGGTGAATAATAAACGATAAAATAAACAATAAACAATACTATGTAATACAGTACGAAAATATGCAGAATTTACAAACATCTACAATACCTTCTTTGTCGCCATTAGCGACAATCCTAAATCCTGTCATAGTCGACGTTGACGACAGTTCTTGCATGAGCTTTGATATATATTAACAGCATGCGTTTTGAAACGCTTGGCAATTCGATCCAAAAGAATGTTAATGATGCTACTTGTATTCAATGTTTCCTTTTAGCATGCTTTCAATACAAGCTGCAGTGACGTCTTCTATCTGCATTTCAAAACGCCACCCCTGATACGTATTATCCAAAATCGTTCAGGGCAACGTTCAGAAGTAAAAATGTGGGAGAGCAACCTTTCAAATGGCAATGCTTACAAGTCAGATGTCGACTTCGTTTATTCAGGATTTTAATTGAATCAGTATTCAAAGGCATTCTTAAGAAAGTGGTTTGCAAACTTGCATCAAAAAGATAAGAAGAAATGTTTTCAGACCGCAATGTGTAAATAACCAAAAGGCTTGGCGTTCCTGCCCTTAGACGGAGTGAAAATATTTACAGAACTTCCCTGGAACTCCTAGAATTTTCTTCGTGAGAAGAAAACTACCGATATAGTGCTCACGATATGGCCAAACGCAATCAGAGCAAACTACAGCAGATACCTCACTGTAGGGATTACCATATTGAACGGCCAACCATAGCTTCTTTGCAGGATTGTCGTCAGCTGCATTTGATTACCAGCAGCTCTGATTTTGCAAAGCTGCGAAGGCAACATACTAATCAGTAAGGATTGTAAAATATTGGCGTCACCAGATTTAATTCTCCAGTTTTCATCTGTGGGCATAGAGGAATAAGCTCTTGGAATTAGGGGGAACTCCACCCGACAAAACACCACGCCCAGCATTGACCATTCATGAATATACAGTGACCGCCAAAAAGTTGCGGACAAGCCGCCTTCCTTTTTTTATCGCTCATTTTCGGATGGAAAACAAAGATGAAAAAATGTTTGGATTGCATGATGTGATAGAGCTCTTCAAGAGCTACAAATCACACATTGTATAATACTTTCTGAAAACATGCGTTTTAAAAATTTTAAAGATCTTTTTCTAAGAAGAGTCCGAAAATGGCCGCGTCACAATGTCGCGGACAATAATTCTTCGAACGCGATTTCCTTTTGGGTCCTATTTTCAAGTGGAAACACAAGCAATCCGAATAGGTAAGCATACTACATTATAGAGCTCATCGAGGACAATAATCAGGTAGTGGTTATTTCCAAAAAACCCAAACTTGACTATTATTTTGCTTTTTTTCAAAAAATAACTTCTAATTTCCTTTTCCAAGCCAAATTTCTTCACATGTAAACCTTATTCGAGACATCCTAACGAAGCTGTTCGACAAAAATGGATGCTTTTTGCCATCCTATATGCATCGGACGTGTGTTGGTGAGTTTCTTTGCTTGAAAATGGCTCTTGACAGTGCGTGCACATAACCCACCTGCACCTCACCACTGAATTGTACCGCTTTGCAGGCTTTTAGCTCGGCCGGCAGTCATTCTACGAGCCTGCTAGTAGGCTCATTCGAAAGAGCGTGACTTTCTCTACACGATGATATGCAAATGAGTTCAGTTTCAAAAATAACAGAGATTTGGCGAATGGGGTGACGGAGCGCAGCCTTAGAGGTGATTGGAGTGAAGGCTCTTATTAACGCCAGAACAGTCCTAGAGCTCCGAAATAGATTTATTACATATAATTTGCGGTTTTGAACCTCCAGATTAGAACTAGTAGCGAAAGGAGCTTTGCTTAACTTCTGCTGAAAAATCATTACCATGACACAGAAGCTGCGCTCTGTCATCCCATTCGCCAAATCTCTGTTATTTTTGAAACTGAACTCATTTGCATTTCGAATGAGCCTACTTGCAGGCTCGTAGAATGACTGCCGGCCGAGCTAAAAGCCTGCAAAGTGGTACAATTTAGTGGTGAGGTGCAGGTGGGGTTATGTGCACGCACTGTCGAGAGCCATTTTCAGCAAAGAAACTCACCAACACACGTCCGATGCATATAGGATGGCAAAAAGCATCCATTTTTGTCGAACAGCTTTGTTAGGATGTCTTGATTAGGTTTACATGTGAAGAAATTTGGCTTGGAAAAGGGAATTAGAAGTTATTTTTTAAAAAAAAGCAAAATAAAATTCAAGTTTGGGTTTTTTTGGAAATAACCACTACCTGATTATTGTCCTCGGTGAGCTCTATAATGTAGTATGCTTACCTATTCGGATTACTTGTGTTTCCACTTGAAAATAGGACCCAAAAGGAAATTTTCTCGTTCGAAGAATTATTGTCCGCGACATTGTGACGCGGCCATTTTCGGGTTCTTCTTAGAAAAAGATTTTTAAAATTTTTAAAATGCATTTTCCAGAAAGCACAATGTGTGGGTTGTCTCTTGAAGAGCTCTATCACCTCATGCAATCCAAACATTTTTTCATCTTTGTTTTCCATCCGAAAATGAGCGATCAAAAAAGGAAGGCGGCTTGTCCGCAACTTTTTGGCGGTCACTGTACATTGGCCCGCACCAAATCACCGCCGCATTGGCGCATTCTTTACTGTGGTGCCGAAAAAAATCGGTTATATTCCGTTTTTACTTGGAAAATTGGAAATAAACGACATTTGCTTCACATCGAATGAATATACATAATTACATTTAGGTACTTAGATGGCCTGTCCCCACGTGGAGTGCAGGCGACAGCACAAAAGTTGCCATGATCCCTTGTCTGTCGCTTCTGACATCAACGTTCTTGATGGCTGGTGGCGCCCTCGAGTCCAGTTTTAGAATTCTATGTAGCTGGTTTTCAGCTGTTCCATCCTGTCTCATTAATGATGTTTTTCGGAGTTTCGCTTCGCGACAAGTCCACTGTTATGTTCTCATTGTCCATCTTTCGTCTGTTCTTCTCCTGATATAATCAACTCATTGATGTCATACTTTTGCCACGTATTCCGCTGGGTCACGAAGGGACATTCTCACATCCGTACTGCAAAATCCGACAAGATGTTGTTTGTGTCGGGTCATCTCTAGGAGATTGCGCTCTGACGCTCTTTGGGTGGTCCGCAAAGCTTTCGACTGGCTTTGGTGCTCAGGTTTCAGCTACGTAACAGAGCACGGGAATTTTGAATTAAACGGGTGGGTGCAAAGCTCTGGGTCCGTCAGCTGGTCGGTAGTCTCTTCAGAGGCCCATACGCGGCCGAGGCTGCCCTTCTCAACTTCTTCCCTCAATTCATCTTTTTGTCGAAGGTTTAAGATACATGTAAGAAGGCGTTTCCATAGGGCTGCTATATACTTCCATCTCCGCAACTTCGCAAAGAGCGTTCTTCATAGACTGAGTGTTCCTCCGATTTTTCCGAACTTTTCCCTACTTCGTTCGCTTCCTTCAGCATCATCTCTGTTTCAGAGATATTGCTCGAAAAAAGAACGATGTCGTCCGCAAAGCGAAGGTTTGAAAGGAGTCTCCCATTAGCTCGTATGCCTCCCTCATCCCAGTCCAGTGATTTCATCACCTACTACAAGCCTGGTGAACAGTTTCGGCGAGATTGGGTCTATTTGTCGGACCTACTTTCTAGTATATTCAGGAGCGATGAAATAGCTGCAGTTGTTGTACAGTCCTTGTAGCAGACAGTCGACATCTCATCACAAAGCTGTGTTGGCTTCTTGGTCGACTTACGTGACAGTATGGCGCGTGTCTCGACGTTGTCAGAGGATTTCTTGTCAGTGCAAGTAAAGGCTACTGCATGACGAAGGCGCAGAAGCAGTTCCAGTTGAGCGGGCGCGAACGCAACGCACGTGCGTATCCTCACCGTTGTAATTCCTGCGCCTTATGCGCTCTACGGCTAAAAAAGCCGCGTTCGCTCCCAAAGATATTGCGCCTTCGTTATGCAGCAGCCTATATGAGAGGCAGCGGTATTGCCAAAGGTTTTCGTCCCAGCAAATCTTACTTCTTAGGCACTGTAAGAGGAAGTGTAAATTAATCTGGCAGAAAGTTAGTGCATGCAGAGCTTAAGATTACAGAATGCAAAGAATAGGTGCCATCCTTCTTTCTGCGCTTCATCCTTTGGTGAAAAGGGTTGGGTTGGAACAACAACTACGGCCCGCCGTAACGTGGGGATACTGGTGTGGAAGAGCAGTAGAAACGAGTGTATGCTCTGGCAGGGTCTGTCAACCTGAAAAGAAATTTGACTTTCGGCTTTTAACTTGAGATCAGAAGAAAGATTAGATCACCAGTTAAGGTTAGACCCTGTTTATTATTCCTCAAACGATCTTCGCCCACTACTGATTTTTCGGGGAAAATCGTACTCCCATCCTTTCCGTTTGGTGGCAAGAAAGAAACTAAACAGATTATTTTGAGTTTTGTTTTTTACCTATTCTCTAATATTATTTTCTTATTTGCCAGATGCTTAAATTAGAGCGGACCCGGCCAGATCACCCGCCGCTGCGCTTGGTCGCAGTTAAGAATCGCAGGTCGTCGATCGTATTTGGTAGAAACAGCACGGCTCGATAAGTCCTCTCGTCTGGGATTTTTTCAGCAAGGAAAGAAAGCACGGGTAACAACACCGACGTCAGCTGCTCAAGGACCATTCATCACAAATAAGAATAGTCTTCTTATGATTTGAAGTCCTCTTCGCCTCTTGCCCCTCGACAGGTAATAGGAAGACTAACCACTCTCGAGGCTCCTCAGTAGGGGAAGTGGGAGGTGATAGTGGTAGTCTTGAGCATGGGGCTGTATTTATAGCAGGGGTATTTATAGGAGAGGAAGGGGGAAGAGTAGATCAGGTAGCGGATCAGGACTGAGCTTGTATTCTAAGTTCAAAAAATTAGAAATACATTTAATCAGTTTGCTCTCGAAATCGTTATATTACACGTTCTGAAAATTGTTAGCGTTTCTGTATATCTTATAGCATATTTGTATATATTTCTGTATATAATATAGCCAGTGAAGTAACGAGGGCCCCCCCCCCCGAGAATGGATCGCGAAATTTTTGAAAGTTACTTATAAAGGTTATAGAAATGTGCAAATGACTTGTTTATACTTGTAAATAATTTTAAATAATTTTTAAAATCAATTTAGCTTTGTAAAATTTTTTTTGGGGACGTGG